GGGGGAGGGGAAAGGCTTTTTCGGGGGGGGCTTTTGGGGGGAGCTTTTTTGGTTCCTTTGTTTAGATCTTGTCACAGCCCTTGTAAGAAGAAGATAGCAAGAAAGTAGTTAAGAGTCGTACCAGCAGCAGAATGAACTGGTCGTGGAGCTGTGGTGCGCATGTCATACCTGTGCCTCATACAGTTCTTCTTTACCACCCTCGACTATGTGGAAAGTACCTCCATAGAAGGGCGAGGGCTCGCTGGAAAGGGAAGCGAAAGGTGCTGTTAAAAATGCATAAACCGTTCAGAATAGTCTTTCTTAGACTGACATCAAGCTAGCTATAAGTAACAAATTAAATTAACTTGCTTGATTATTCAGTGTAGCTAGCTTATTATCCCCTGATGCTGTGGAGCGCCAAGCAAACGATTTCAAATTCAGTTTCCTCCACATTCGTTTCTTCTTGTAGGAACACTATGTGTATTAGGATGTTATTAGTCGATCTCTACAGAGAAGCATTGCGGAATTTCAATTTTTTTCTACGCTATGTACCTCACATAGACTTAATAAAATGAAGTCGTGTCATCTTCCTCGAGGTTTGACTAGGTGAGTCACAAGTACGCATAGTATTTTTGTATAATCCATGAGCTGTATTATAAAGTTCCAGGCCAAAAGCGCTTTGCCACCATTCGTTTAAGTTTACTTCATATCACAAAGGGAATTAGTTATACTGCACGTACTTTGCATCTTCGTCATCAGTTCTCAGGCCCCAGTTGTGGTACGGGTCAACCCACACTGGATTTGATCTGGAATGAAACGATATATTTACCTGGTAGTAAGTCACAAGAACGTGCCGATATCCAGCTTATTCAAAACTAACGCCTCATTTGTCATTTAGAATATAATGTTTGATGTAATAACCCCTGAAACGACACGGGGTTTGAAAACGCCTTTAGGAATGGCGAGAACGCGAAATGAACTGCCAGGTCAAGTCTTAGAAAGCAACTATCAAAATTGACAGAGCACAGTGATTAGGAAGTTTTTAATGGGTAATTTAACAGCTGCGTATTTAATTACCTGGCCATGAATGCAAGCGAGGCTAGAGGTGACCTTGCTTTGATACAGACCTCTCTGCTTTTCTCATTTAAATGCCAACTGTTAGTATAAGAACAACTTGATTCACACAACAAAAGCAGTAAGGTCTATCAAAACAAGGTCACCTCCAGCCTCGTTGCCATTCAAAGGCCAGTTCGCTAAGCAGATAACTGTAAAATGGTCTCTTATGTCTCGGACCTCGTTCGAGCATGCCTTACGTGGTTCGTTTGTATTACACGAGATCAACTGCCCTCACTTCAAGTCAAAAAGGTTGGTCGCCATTGCATCAAAAGACGGTGTGTTTGAATTGATTGAAATCATCTCGCAAGTGTCCTTCGAAAAAATACATACCCTTCACTGATGTGCATGTTGGTTGTTGGAAGCGATGTTACTGTTCCATTGTTGACTGAACGAGAACCTGTCGAGTGAGGGAAATGCAGTTAAAAGTTTGCCAAAAAAGTAGGAGTTTTAGATGGTCGAAGGCTTTCAAATTTAAAATTCTTTCAAAAATGGGAGCGAAAACTCTATCGTTCGCTGAATTAATTAACTAGAAGCCCTTTCACAAGTCGCGTTATCTTCTCAGTTACGCACCAACCTGTTGAACCAAGCGGCTGTAAAAAAGACTTAATTTATACTAAATTATTGGTAATATTGGAAAAAGTCCCAGGAAACTATCAAACAGATTGAATCTATTTGAGGCGTCAGTCCGCACACAGTATTTCCACTGACAGCCAAGGACTGAACCCTTACCATGTTACCTACAGTATCGAAACGAACGAAAACGGAACACGCCTGCGAACCGGACAACGAACGAACGAACAAACATACGGACAAACGAACAACAACAACAACAACAAGAAAAAACTGATTTACGAACAGACTAGCAATCCATAATTTCTTGCTCACCTCCGTAACTAGCTGCGGTTGCGGCTCGCAGTTTTCTTTTTTGCCTTAATAAAAATAAAAGGAACAAAGAAAAATTAATGTGTAGCTGAGGTAATTGAAATTCGTTTCAATTAAAGGGCTGAACTGCATATTCCATTAAGAAAAAAAATTGAACTACTTTTATTATTAGCTCCTCAATTTTAGAAAAAAACTGTAATATTTACGTCTATTCTCATTCATTTTTGGACTGAGTTCAATCAAGGTTAAGTCAAATTACATTCCTCATGTGAGCGTTTTCAAGAAATTTGGAGGTTAGAGAAGGTTACCGCGCCGTGATAAGTCAAAAACAAAGAAAGGCTTTTTTGATTTCATACGTACAGTAAATTACATGTGGTGTGTTTTGCTTCCAATTCGTCAATTCTAAGATTTGAAATTTGGAGAAAATTATCGAAGTTATAGGTCTTAACTGAACCCGCTAGAAATTGCACACATTTTTAGGGTAAAAGCGATTATTTTGAGGAAAATAGGAAACTATTGATGAATGTATAGAACAAACATTTTTACATTCAAGCGTCGATTATTCCCTATGAAAAAAATACCCCATTCATGATAAATCAGTTTGAATTCTGAACGTATAATTATTTTGATTGCGCACTGAAATCTGATTCTAAATGTTGGAAGGGTAACAAGCTCATTGAACTACTGAGCTGGACTGATGTATGTACTAAGAACAGAGTAAAAGATTATTGACTTCTCCTATGTAATGATCTCTTTGTCAACAACAACAACAACAGAGTTAAATAATATACCGTATGCTATTGTAATATCTTTAACAAAACTTTTAAAATAGCAAGCTATCAATAGACCTTTCCCGCATTCCACTTCAGTGCGTTCGAACAATAGCTCCAGAGCGAGGTTGGGGTGGACAGTTTCATACATTTGCTGTATTTTTGCTCAATTTGACCTCGACTCGGCGCCACTGTTTGTTGGAATGCGGGAAAGGTCTATGAACGAATGTTTAAATATTTTATATTCAAGTGTTTTTTACTAACTATCAAAAACTAGTTCAGCTTGTCTTTTTTTTTCAAATGAAAGCTCTGATTGCCTAATGGAATCTGATTCCAAACAAATGGAGAAGTAAAAATAATCAATGTTCCACTCGATATTAATAAAGGGTCAGGATGTCGGGTCTCCTATGTAATGATCTCTTTGCGAAGATTTATTCATACGAAAATACAATAGCATTTTAATTGTCGCTGAGAATCCCCAACACCGAGGGTTAGTTATAAATACTTTTATGCTACTGTCTCTAATAGACCTCATGGCATCGATACCGAATTAGAAATCAATCAAAATGTAACAATACACCAGGCACCTCTTCCTCAGCTGGCAAACCACACAGCAGAAGATCAAGATGATTAAGAATAAGAGAATGCCCAAGCCGATAACTACAGCCCACACAATAGGGAATTCGTCATCTGTCTTGGGATCGACTTGAGCCTAACAAAATAAAATGTTCATCTTGAGTTTAACAAAAAACATCAGTAAGTCTAAATGATTGTAATAAGGCTACAAGTTCAACGATTGGTGAAGGATCTTTCCTCGGAAACAAGCATAAATAGACCTCAAAGGCCATTACCTGGCATAAAATTACTTCATATTAAACATACGTCTTATTTCTTCTATTTGTAATGAGCGTTCTTAGGTACATACAGCGTAAACAGCTTGTAATAACAGGAAAAAACACAAACAAACAACAGCTCAAAAATTTGTCACATTTTTGAATTGTATAAGTGAAATAATAAACATAACACACCTTCACTTCTTCGATTTCCCACTGCTGGAAAAATTTGAGGTGCTTGTCATAGTTGTTGTCAATTTTGCTAAAGGAAATTGAAAAGAAACAAATAAGTTATTTTGTCTGTGATACATAGCTTGCTGTTTGAAAATGAACTAAGGAAGGTTATCTTATAAATGAGTATATATGTACTTACTCTATGACAATATCTTTATCGACGACTTTATTAGTTTTGGGATCAACAGCATGAAACAGTACCGCTGTCCTTTAATGGCAAAAAAATAGAAAGACAAGAAATCAATCAATCAATCAATCTATCAGTCAATCAATCAATCAATCAATCAATCAATCAATCAATCAATCAATCAGTTAGTAGGTCGGTCGGTCGGTCAGTCACTCAATCAATCGACAAAATTACCTGTCATAATCATATTTTCCATCTTCATCTTTGTAGTAATTTATGTCATCAATATTTATGATATAACCAGTGATATTCTCCAGTATTCTACAAGAAAACAAAACAAAAACTTTTAACATTATAAAGTTTTACTGTGGAAACAACTAAGCTACTGTAAATAGCATTTTTCTTAGAAATGTTTTATTTAATCAGGGACATACAAAAAAATACAGCCAATAAAGTTGTTATAAAGGTGCTCAGTCACCATTTAAACAGACCAAATCGTCGACTTACAAACAGATTCCACGTTGCGTAGCATCTGGTCAGTACTGTATCACAGATAATGTCAGAATATGGTTAGATAAAAAAAAAGTGGCACACGAGCCATCAGGTGAGTGTGTCACTGATGTTCTTACCACATTTTGACGTATTTTGTGATCTATTACTGAACAGACGCACAGCAACATGGAATCTACATGTCAGTTTTATACAATAATATTAAGAGGCCAAAAAATGCAAATGACGTCATATATACGTCTGTCCTCCAATAGATCATAAGATGGAACCAATCGAAATGCGAGAATGATTTCACTTATTTGCTTATTATATAAAAAACGTGTGAGATTGACGGTGTCTGCACTGTGTATGAAAATAGAAAAAGATAGAGTTGACACTCATATACCGTTTTAGTTCTTCTTGATTTTCCCGAACATATTCCGGAGATCTTCCTGAAATGATAACGGCTCGCTGAATATCTGTGAGCACGTAAATCTGCAAGACAAATGTACAATGAAGGGAAACCTTAAGTAACCAAAACTAGATTATTACAGGTACTTTAAACGAGCTACGTCACGGCTTGCACATCTTGATAAGTTAAGCCTAAATATTTCAAGTTCCTCGTTTGCAATCCGTGTTCATCTTCTCCATCCTTAACCGTCCTTGTTCCTTTATGATTTATTATGGTCTCTTTGGTGGTTTTCTATTTTAGTGAACTACCATCGTTAGGTTTCCTTCAATTTAAAGGTAATTTTATGAGAGGCCAAAATAACTCAAAATGTCGTTACTGAGCTCTTTCAGTAAAATATTATATGAATATCATAAAGACCTACCTTGACTTCCGCAGTGTCGTTAAAGTAAGGTTCTTCTCCAAAATTGTCCTTCGCAATAACGTTGATGACAAACTCCTCCCCAAACTTGCCGGCGTAAGAAGATTTTGCTTGAATCCAGCCAGTCTCACGATCAATACTGAACTCGTCGCTATCTTTAGTTTGCATGAGCTCGTATGAAATACGGCTATTATTACCCGCATCAGAATCTTTAGCCTAAAGAATGTATAATAATTCAAAATAATAAATAGATAAATGAATATTAATGAGTAAAGAACTATGTAACAAAGGAGATGATATATCAAATAAAACCCAGCTTATATCAGGCGTCTTATCTTCAAAGTCAAACCTCAGAGACTCCACATAATTAATTTTAACTAAATTTGCTATCATATAAAGTTGCAGTTTTATTCAATGCAGACATGTTTAATAATGCTTTTGTGACACTTACGAACACTTGAATTATGTTGCTTCCATGCTTTGCGTCTTCGGAGACTCCTAAGGCGCAAGAAAGGATAAGTGAGAGAGGCCGGTAGCGAGAAACTATAAGAATTACGTAAAAGCTCTTTTTCCACTTCGTAAAAAAACTCTCACGGTATTTTTCTTCTTTACAAACTTTTTTCCATAAACAAACAATTATCATACCACAAATTTTAACCAGAGTTTGAAGATTATCAGAGCTGTCTCACTCAGCTGTGTTTTTGATCAAAATGTACCGATTTAACAAAGCTGGACGTCCCAATGGTGCAAGATTTTATTATTATATTATTATTTTTTTTTGTCAGGAAAGGGAGGTATTTGAGGTAAAAACGAAAATTCAAACTAAGGTTTGCAAAAATCTTCAAGGCAAATTAAGCAGTAAATAAAAAGAATAAGTTACCTCCAGTATATAGCTTCTTAGTGAAAAGGGGACCATTGTCGTTTTCATCTGCAATATTTACAATCACTAACTGCACCCCGAGATCCTCTGTAAATTGAAACATTTTATGTGGTGTGAATTCGAAGAAAGACGAATCTAAAAATCTCAGAAGTTTAATAATTTATTGAGATATTACAAGGTAACTGATCGAAAATGAAGATGAAGAGTTACTGCATTCGTGTTAATCCGAAACGTACATAAGTGTTTTCATATTAAAGGAGCTCAGTCAAGGTGTTTGAGTTATTTTGGCCACATACAAAATTTCCTTTAAATTGGAGGAAACCTGAAAATAATAGTTTGCAAAGATAGAAAAACACCAAAGAGATAATAATAAACCATAAATGAACAAGGATGGTTAAGGATGGAGAAAATTAACACGGATTACGAACGACAAACTTGAAAACACCGTGACGTAGCTCCTTTATTAAAGACAGAGGAGTTTCAGCTTTGTAAACATTTCGTCAGTACTTGTTCTTTAGAAGAGAGATTAAACACAATATAACGTCTCGAGAATGATTACATATATTGCTTCACGTAATACACCTGGCTATCTAATCAATGCGAATAAAAAAAAACACAGCGAACGTCGGCGTTACACCGTAATGCTGCTTAATTAGTAACGAAAAGCAGGTTTGATAAAACTGGTTTACCCGGTAATGGTGCCTGTGTCGCGTTAGTCTCATTTGAGCTAGCATCCGGGACCGCTCGTTTGTTTCTTGGCTGCAGAGAGGCTGGATCGAGCTACAATCAAAAGATATGATCTCTTTAAGTTCAAACAGATATATCTAATCATTAAGAGGGCTTCAAACTTGCTTAACTTTTCAATTAAACATTTCAGTTAGAAAGCTAACAAACCTTTACGTTCGACGATTTTATGTAGAGGAAGAATTGTGCACTAGCCTCTCGGTCCTTCAGAAATACAATCAGAAAACCAAAGATTAATAGTAAATACCGTCAAAGTAATGGTAATATACACCCTCTGGCAATGATGCAAAAAACAGAGAACTTCAAAAATGGCAAGTATTTCAAAACTGGGCGAGTCTAAAGGATCATTTTTAATTTGTCTTAAATTTAATTGGAATTTCGATTTGCCTCTCTTTGTATTTGTCTGTGGAACTGTCTTCCTACCTGTCTGCCTGACATTTTTCAGTGTCGGCGACCTTGAGTGTGTGTCTGTCTGTGTCTGTCTGTTTGTCGGTCTGTCTGTCTATCGATCGATGCGTAGTTTTTGTTCAAGTTTGTGTTTCTTTTTGTTTTGATGTTGATATAATGACAAGCGCAACTCATTACACACTTCATCACTATGTTCTTACATACAGTGGAACCTTGATATAACAAAGGGCCCAGGGACTGGCAAAATACCCTCGCTATAAAGAGGTTTGGTTGTATCGAGGTTCTTCTCCATATATTTTACTATCACTGAGGTGAGGAATATCGTTCGTTATACCGAGGACTTCGTTACATCGAGGTTCGTTAAATCGAGGTTTCACTGTATCAGGGCAACGACTTTTCACATTAATTTATGATGATCGCAAAAATTGCCGATCTATTTCCATACCATCATTCATAAGGAAACTCCCTCCTAAAAATTTAAATCCAGCGAACTTTATTGAAAATAATGTAGCAGAAAACAGCTGCAAACGCGCAAACCGACAGTACTGAAAGAATGTTTACAACAGAATACTTACAACAGGTCGAGTGGTTGTTAACATTCCAGTTGTCTCATTCAAGGCGAACATGTTTCCACTATTTCCACCTGCAAAACAAAAAACAAAAAACAGTCTCTAACTTTTACAGTAAGACAAAAAAATATGCTTTTTTAAAAGAGCAGTTCGAGAATAGTTTCTTCTTCCCTGTTGATAGAAACTAATAAGTGACTGAACATTTTGTAGATACGTTCTAAAATGAAGTGAAGATATGATTATTAATTTCTATCTTCAATACTCATGTAATGACTTAGCCAGCGATTGCCAAGTTAATGGTGACCGGCGCAGAGAATTGAGACAAGTCTCAAAACAGCCTGCGATTTCCGTTAAAGATTTTTTTTTTAATCTTTAATAATAAGTATTTACTTTGTATGTAATAATAAATAGGTTCAGCCTGGTCGGCGTCGTAAGCTGCTATCGTCCCAACTTCAGCCCCAGCTGGAAGATTCTCACCAACTGATAAGCTGACTTGACGCTGAAAACAAAACAGAATTGGAAATGTTTCATTGGACTTATCAATACAGCGCGCAAAAGCCAGAAGCACTCAAATTTCTGTCACTCTCTGGAGATCGAACGATAATAACATTGAGGTATAAATATTAATAATCTGTTCTAGGCGCACAGGTACTGAGTTGGAGAGCAGCGCAAACAAGATTAGTTTACTGTGGGAAATTGTAGGACTAGCGATACAAATGTGATGTTCACATACTCAGATCATTAAATTGATAATAAACCACGTTTTCTCTAGTTTTCTCCACCATGACATACACTGCATTTGTATGTAATTTTACAATTTCCCACTGTCTTCTTCGTAAAAATGACATTAGTTTAAAAACTCGATATCTTAATTTTACTTCTGTTAAATCAAATCATCTCCGGAATCAAACGATGTCTATTTTCAGCTTCATATGCAAAGATACATAAATGTTTCCTAGCGAATATCCGAAAAATAAAGATCTCTAAAGCCCTTATTTTTAGAAACAAAAATAAAAGAGCCCAATCAGTATGGTTTTAATGGCTTGTACCTTGTTAAAAACAGGTATATTGTCGTCAATGTTCTCCAAAGCAATTGTTATAGTCTTCACGCTTGACCGAGGGGGGCTTCCAAGGTCCTGGGCTTCTATAGTGAGCTGCACAAAAATAAACCACATCACAGGATAATTAGGATGAATTCCAGACTATGCAATTTTTTTTTAACAAGTCTAGTAAACGAAGTCATTGGTAGCAGTTAGTGTTCGGTTTTCCCTAACCTTGTATGACTTGGGTTCTTCATCATAATCGAGGCTCTTCGCTGTAAACAGCTCGCCACTGGTTTCATTGAGCTCAAATATTCCGTCATCATTTCCACTTATGATAGTAAACTTCAACTGAGCGTTAACACCAGTGTCTTTGTCCGTGGCATTCATTGTCGTGATAAGCGTACCAACTGTCGTATTCTAGAGAGAAAACAACAATTGTGTTTCTAGTGAACGATGGTTAAATGCTTTGTTCTTTGCACTGGGTCACTGGGTCACTGGGTCACTGGGTCACTGGGTTACTGGGTCGCCCGGTCGCTCGGTCGCTCGGTCATTAGGTCAGTCAGTCGCGCTCGGTCGCTCGGTTGCTCGGTCGCTTGGTCGCTCGGTGGCTCGGTGGCTCGGTGGCTCGGTGGCTCAGTGGCTCGGTCGCTCGGGCGCTCGGTCGCTCGGTCAATCGGGCGCTCGGTCACTCGGTCACTCGGTCAATTAGTCAATCAATCAATCAATCAATCAATCAATCAATCAATCAATCAATCAATCAATCAATCAATCAATCTTTGACAATCCTTAGGGAGAAACTCAATTCGCTAATTTTTCACGGAGGCAACCCTGATGAATTCCTTCATTATATATAAGTCGGTAACACGAGAGTCACAAAGTTGTCATTGTAATTGACAACAAAGCCAGATTACATACCTCAAGCACAGAGAACAATGTCTGTGTCTGTATTTCTGGAATTTGGTCATTGGCGTCCAGTATAGTGATATTTATCGTAGTTTGATTGAATAGAGGTGGCTGGCCTTGATCAGTGGCAGTTACCAACAGACTGTAAAAATCTCTCACTTCCCTATCCAAGGTTGTGGCTTTTGACAATTCTCCGGTGACGTTGTTTAATATAAACGCTCCTGAAAAAGGAAATAGCTCTATATTAGCAAAATGATGTGGAGACTGAAGGCTTGCGTAGCGTGTGAGTGATTTATTTCGGCGGCGAAACCACGAACGGGAATGGCAAAGAGCACTTCTCCTTGTGGCTTCTAAGCTCTCGTTACGTTAACCGTCGCTAAAGCAGAGTATTCATACGCAATATCCCTACAAGCTATGAAGGCTGCTGCTTATAGGGGGTTTCCAGGCAGCAATATTGGTGTTCCCAAACGATAGGAAATGTTTACAAATCAGAAGAACTCATTTCCTAAATAAGGGAAATTTCATTTTTTTTTTTTGTCAAACACCAACAGGGCCACCGTGTCGTCATTTTCAACAGACATCATTGAAGTAACGTGTTTGCAACAACCATATACATCCAAGAAGACCTTCTATTTGCTATGTGTTATCGGCATATGGCAGAAACGAGAACGCGGCCAATATCTAGCCATCTTGACCGAACAAGCTTGGTCAATAAAAAATTTATTATATAGACTTTAGTGACCCTTAGGGAAAAATTTTCCCTGCGGGACCCAGTGCGTAAGATAGCACCATCTTGCCCGCTCGGGTAGCCAATCACAGCGCAGGATTTGGTTCACTTTTCCCGCCCTGGGAGCTAACCATATGATAAATACATAAATATCATCTTTCTAAGAATATTCGAGGTGCTTTTCAGTAAAATTTTAATGATTTTTCAATGAAGATGAACACTCATTTCCAATAATTTTTATGAAATCACTAAACACACCTTCGTCGTTTCCTTTAGTGATTGTATAGACGATTTTCGCATTGTCTCCTTCGTCATCGTCCTTAGCGGAAATTGTAAGTATTTTCCTGTCCCCTGCTGGTTCCAGTTCTCCGATGTCCTCTATCACTGATTTGAGGTAGGACTGGGGCTCAAACATTGGTGTGACGTCATTGACATCCCCAACCGTAACAGTCAGCTGCAATATAGAAAGAAAGATTCTATTTATTTTACCAGCTGTGTTGTAAAACATTAGAAGTAAGGTGAAACAAATTCAAGGATGTATTAAATTGAGGTATTTTCCACCATAAAAACAATTAATCTGCGCGAGGTAACATTTTTTTAATAAAGACAGCTATAGCTGACTTTACAATTCATATTTTTCATAAACTGGCAAAATTACAAATTAACTTGATTGGTTAGCATTTGCTAATTTTTTAGCAATTATTTTATACCCAACAGATTACAATTTAAGCCTCACTGAAGACCTGATATCAGATAACAGCAAGTCCGGATTGACGAATCCAAATGAGGTATTTGTCCTCCTCTTTAGACTCTAACCTCTTAGCCTGCGCATGCGTAACAGACGTTTCCTTTCCTTTTCCGAAAAAGCACGAGAAGGGAACGAGGCTACCCCCTCCCCACTTCTTCAATTTTTGCTCTCCTAAGGCGTGCTCCTTTGTTCGCTCGCTTGTCAGATGATCTCTCCACCTGGAAAAGGAAAGGACACGGCTGCTTCGCAGGCTACCAACCTCTAACCTATTCTGCTGCGGTCGGGACAATTTCTTTTCTTTTAAATGTTCCCAAAAGCTATAAGGCCTGGGTCCTAAACGTCTAGCAGATTTAGGCTTGCCCGATTAGTTAGGAGGGTAAGTCATACGTAGCCCCTGGTTCTCCAAGTTTTGTGTTGGTGAGGCAATCATCACAAGCCATAAATAAGGACTCAGTCATTAATTCAAGTTAATTTTGAGGAACTAATCAAGAAATGACACGTTCAGTGCTTACAAGAACTGTTGATTTTTGCTCTGTGTTATTCACTCGGCTGATGGCGGCTACAGTCAGTTTGTACTCTGATACTTTTTCACGATCGAGCCCATCTCCAGACCAATTCAAGTACACTGTGCCATTTAACTCGCCAATAATAAACTTTCTCTCGTCATCGCCTCCATCGATGCTGTAATATATAGTCTTGTGCGCTTCGTCTGCATCCATGTCCGTGGCGTTCACTTGGGCGACAAACGTGCCCGCAGTGGCATTTTCTAATAGGCTTGCGGTATACTCATTTTGGTGGAAAACAGGCGCATTATCGTCTACGTCACTAACGGTTACTAGGAGACTTGTATAGCCCGAGAGGGCGGGGCTGCCTAGGTCGCGAGCTTCGATTGTGATGTTGTAAAAATTCTTCGTTTCGTGGTCCAGTTTTTGCCTGAGGGTGATGACGCCAGAAGTTGCTGTAGCAAAGAAACGAGAGGACAATTTGAACACTTGAATCCCTACTTGATATCAGCAAATTTGTTTAGCTACCTTAAGTTACAAGTTAAACTATAATCGTTTTTGCTAGCCCGAGCAACATTATGCAAAAATTGTTGTCCACTCTACGCCCTGTCCACAACACGCCGGAGAACTTTGGAAACAGCATTTTCACTATCAAAACGCATCAAATGGTTTCCGTCCACATTATCTCGGAAAAAAATTGAAAACGCAACAATCACCGGGCATTTTGGATTTGTGTTTGACGAAAACTCGGGCAGGGAAATCACGTGATAATCGTGACATCGTCGTTTCCGTAAAGCTCCATTTTCGCGACGGATTAGTGTGGACGGTAGTCCTAACGTTAACCGTAGAAATAAAGCTGCGTTTTCAAATTTCTTCGGCGTAATGGGGTCGGAACCTGATTGGTCACTGAAGTATTCTTACCGCCTATAGCAAACTGATCATCGGGATCTCCACTTTCAATGCTGTATCGAAACTGACCGTTCCCTCCTTCGTCAGGATCCGTTGCAGAAACAGTTTCCACCTGTAGAATAAAGATTTTAAAAAAATATCGTTACAGCTGAGTAAATTAGGATACGCGTGAAAATCGAACTAAGTGAACTGAATACGCCATAGACGTTATGTCTTGCAGAATAAAACCCCTGGGGGAATCCCATGTGAAAAGGTCGGGGATGTTTGTCAGAAAATCTGAATTAAACCCCTAAAGAAGACCAGCCTGGGCTTGGCTCGAGTTTTGTTTGACCTCTAAAAGATACAATTCGAAAAAGGAGCTCGGGCTGGTAGGCTGCACTAGAGTGAGCAGCGAAAATCGAGCATAAAAACGGAATTGAGAGCATTTTTTTTTTAATCGTTACCTTTTTGAGTACACCATAAAAAATACTTTGACAACTACAAATGGTGGCATTTCGTCCTGATCACCCTTAAAGAGACCAAAATCCATGATTTACACTCCTAAGCGAGACAAGGAGCACCCCTGATCTTTTCACGTGGTTGTCCCCCTTTGGAACAAAGCCATCTTCAAGAGGCTTTATTACGGAGCTAAATAACGCTTCGTATCGGTGGTATTCAATGCAACGCTTCAATTGCATGACCAAAATCAAAGAAGTAAATAGCAATTGTAGGAGGTGATTCAAAGGTCGTACCGTAGTTTTGGGGAATGCACTCTCTCGCACTGTCACGTTGTAGGTTGCTTGCTGGAAAGTTGGCGCGTTGTCATTTACATCAGTTATTACAACTGTGACCGTTGCGTTACTTTCCAGAGATGGGCTTCCGTTGTCTCGTGCCTAGAGGAATCAAAAATGAAAGTAGAAAAAGTGAGTCGGAACAGATTGGACAGCGGAGCAGAGCACAGTAGAAAATAGTAGAGCAAAGCAGAGAAGAGCAGAACAAAGGTGACAATACGAGAGAAGAGAAGATCAGGGAATTAAGAGCAAAGCAGAGGAGAGTTGACGAGAGGGGAGGAGAGGAAAGAAGAGAAGAGAAGAGAAGAGAAGAGAAGAGAAAAGAAGCAGTGTATATTTATTTTTCTTCTTTTTTCTTACAAAACTAAGGCTTCTAAATGGCAGTGAGAGAAACTTATAGTATATTCTTACAATGACGACTAAGGTGAAGGAGCTGTTGGTCTCTCTGTCTAGTTTTCCAGTAGTCTCGATATCGCCTGTTGTTTCATTCACAGTGAGAGGGAGACCTAAGCACAAATATATACAAAATAACTTGAGTAAAGTAAAGTAAAGTAAAGTAAAGTAAAGTAAAGTAAAGTAAAGTAAAGTAAAGTAAAGTAAAGTAAAGTAAAGTAAAGTAAAGTAAAGTAAAGTAAAGTAAACTCCTTTATTTAAAACACGATTATCGTTTAAGCACTACATGCTTGAGGGTCGTGTATCTGAGTTTATTGCCACAAAACGAAGCAACATATACATTTGTGAAAATGGGACTCTCGCAGTTACAACAGCCACAATATAACAAGCTGAGAAATAAGTAATGATGAGGGAGCTTTCATTCAGGGATAAAAACTATGACGACCGCGCACCGTCAGGAGATCACCTCTCCGATCACCTCCCCTCTGTCCCTCCCTCCCTCCCTCTCTCCCTTCCTCTCCTTCCTTCCCTCCCTCCTTCCTTCCCTCTCTCAGTACCTCCGGTTCTTCCTGTCTCACTGTCTTCTTTCCTCATTTCCTTACTTTTTGACTCTCTCCCTCCATTTCGTCCTCCCCTCTCTCTCTGTCCTGCTAACCTATCCAGCTAGTTATCTAGCGAGCTCCACTCAGGCTACCTACGTACCTAACTTAAAACTCTATTCCAATATTACACTCACTTCCATCTTCTGCCGTTACGAGAAAAGATATCTTCGCGTTTATTCCTTTGTCCTCATCCGAGGCAGTCACCGTTCCCACAAGATGTCCAACATCGACATTTTCAGCAACTCGGAAGTCGTAATTTGATCGCGTGAAGACGGGCGGGTGATCATTATCATCCAACACAGTTACAATAACCTGTAAAGAACACAAACAGGCAAATATCACTTCTTGCAGTCTGCCTGATGTTGTTGGTAATGTGCTGGATTAGTAACAGCGAAGGTACGGCTGTTGCCTGTTCATGAATTATGACTGGAAAGCTTTAATTTTTCGGTCGTCATTTTTTTGTGGACGTCGCCTTGACAAAGTTGTATTCTTTCGTCAGCATTTACATTCTTAAATGGTCCAAAAAAAATCCAAATTTCGATCAGAATGCATCCGAGGCTGTCCCAGTTACATAAGAATTCCGGTTTTCTTGATATATTTGTGAAGGAAATATCGGAAAATCGAGGGTTAACGTTGGAAAAATAAGATTTCCACTGTTTTTATCTCCAAGTTGTCGGCGCCTATCAATGGACTGATCCTACGCACTTTATTAATAAAATTAGTGATGTTTCAGGGGTACACAAGAACCTTAACAAGAATATTCATTTAAGACTGTATCAAATAGGCCTTCGATTAGTATAGGTTCTATGTTTGTAGGAGGCATACGAGAACCAGTTGACCGGGTACGCGTCAACTTATTTGTGTTTGATGCAAGTCCATCAAAATAGGAACGTACAAAAATTAAAGGTGTCATGTTCACCTGTGTTGTTCCCTGGCGGCTTCTTATTGCATCGTCTGCAGCCAATACGGTCAAGGTATACGACTCGGCACCAGCTTGCTCTCGGTCTAAGCGAACTGCTGTGGTAATGTTTCCCTGGAAATAGCCCAAACCGTCACATTAGAAAGCGAAGTTCGTTTTTGCGTTTTAATTTAAAAGCTGAATTTAGCATGAACGGCAAATGTATTATAGCACTCATACCTACCGTATAGCCGAATTATTGTTCATTTAGTATTGGATTTAAAAGTTAGAGCAGAAGGCAAGGGCTTGCTGTGTGATCCAGGTAATAGGTTTTAGCGATACATCTATTTCAACTTACGAACCCGAAGCAAACGATTTTCTACTTTAGACTGAAATGTTTGAATCTGAAGCCCATATTTGCAGATTTTGTATTAAACCTAAGGTTATCTGAGGTGTTTGTACTGTAAAAGTAATATATGAGTTTGAAAATAAATCTTACGGTATTCTGGTCGATTTGGAATCGAAAGTTGCCTCCCGTAAGTCCATAAGAAAGCCTCGCATTGATTCCTTCATCCTTGTCGGTTGCCGTGACTACCAGAAGCGGAGTACCAATTGGCTGATTTTCCATAACATAAGCTTGATATACAGTCTTGTTGAAAGTCGGGCTGTTATCATTGATATCGACCAGATTGACAGACACCTCGACTTCAGACGACAATGGTGGAGAACCCAGGTCAGTTGCACGAACGGTGAAGTTAAAATATGGCGACAACTCACGATCAAGCTCGTTATCAGCTTGGGAAATAAGTCCGCTAACGGGGTCGATCGCTACGTATTTTGTAGCGTTGCCCACGATACTGAATCTTATCTCGGCGTTTCTGCCCGTATCGGCATCCCTTGCTGCAACTGTCAGAATACTTGTGTCTTTTGGTGATTCCTCTCTGTAATCCTGCACGTAGAAAACCTTTGTAAACACTGGCGTACGATCGTTGACATCATCAACCTTAATCACGATCTGCACTTCATCCGACGTCAGATTAACGCTATCGGTAGCCTGTACGTATACCACATGTTCAGTCATATTTTCCCTGTCGAGATCTTTGGCAGTCGTTATCACACCCGTGGTCCGGTTTATACGAAAATGTCCACTCGAATCGCGCTCTGTTAGGGAATAAGTAAGCGTATCGCCAATATCCTTGTCTTGCGCCATGAGCTGAGTTACTTTCGTACCAATAGAAGCATTCTCTGAGACATGAAATGTTAACACTTCGCTTTCAAAGAAAGGTTTTTCGTCAATAACGTCTGTGACTGTGATGTTAACTTGACACTCTCCTTCCATTGCATTTTGCCCTATGTTTGCTGCTATTACATAAAGTACATAATGACTTTTGAATTCTCTATCCAAGTTGGAATCTACAATGATATCACCTGAAATGGAATAAGAACTTATCAGTTTATGCTGCCTCAGCGATATTTAAGAACAAAGTTTGTGAGAGAGCGGAGAGAAACAGAAGGCTAGAGACATAAGTAGTGTAGGGCATACCAAATCATATTTCGCTAGAATGAGATAGATTGCAAGGTAGGATTTTGAAATATTTGGGAGCCAAATTACCGTCTGAAATATTTTCCCAACATGTGCTAACAATTTTAAACGCTGTACACGAACCTGTTGCTCTATTGATATAAAACTTGGCATCTGCTCCTGTCGATGTATATGTGATCTCCTTATTCAAAACCAAAAAGTCAAGATCTGTGGCGGTCACCCTTCTGACTGTTGTGCCTCGGGAAGCGTCCTCAGACACGTTTGCATAATACACCTGCTGACTAAACCGGGGGCGTTCGTCATTGACATCTATTATTTTGACTACCAGTGGGACCGACGATGTTTTGTTACCGCCATCGGAGGCAATTAGTGTCAAATGGTAAGAGTCGTTCCTTTCTCTGTCAAGAGAATTGTTGTAGCGTGTGGTGATGACTGTCGTTGTTCTGTTGATTTCGAAATTGTCTGATCCAGGACCTGGGCGTAAAGAACAGTAAATAACACGTCATTTAAATAGATGAGTCCAAATGTATTGGGGGCAATGCTGATCAAGTTCTTGTTTTTGCGCGAGCTCGCATTGCAAGAATACACATGAGTATTTTCTAACATGAGCTTAATTATCCGGAACAATAAAGTGTATAATTCTTTACTAGCATGGACCTCAAAGTGTACGTTTCCACACATCAAGAACCAAGAGAATATATAACCTCTTGCAAGAAACTAATCACTTTTCGAACCAACCAGACTGCGATAAAACTAAAAATTAATCAGACCAAAGAGCTTTTCACTTTGATTTCAAGAGGACGTCCACTTATATTGTCAATATATCAGCTACCAGCGACGTTCTTTCTCCAGCCACTACTGATCACTACTATTATTCACTCTTAATTAACGAATTGATTAATGTCCTTGCTAGTTAGGTTTCCAGCACAAGCCTCACCTCGAAGAGAAAATGAAATCTCAGCATTGACGCCTTCGTCTGCATCTGTAGCGCTTATGGTGACGGTCTGCGTTAAAAAAAATATTTTCATGAGAAACCATTGCTTTAAACCAAAACTACCTTAGAAGTTTCTCACAGTATGTGAAAGTTGGTACACTTCTTAACCAGGCTATCCCCACCCCTCACAGATTTATTCTTTCTTCAGGAGGACGAGCTGTTCACGACCTGCAAAGATTCAACTTGCTCCCATAAAATCCTCAAAGATTTGACTCAGTGAATTAACTGACTTTGAGCTACTTTGGTCTTGCAGTTATTATGTAACTTATTTTACTTAACTGTTGACAAAACCAATATCTCCAAATTCCAATTCGACCAGGAGAGCGGACTCGCCTGAAAACCAGCTAAGGCTGATGTGGCTTCATTTCAAAATATTGTAATTTATTTATTATTTATTTATTTTTATTTTTTTTCTTTACATATTAATTTACAGAGCAATCAGTAGGAGATTATTTAAGACTTACAGGTACAACAGTTGCTCCTGCTATGGAGTTCTCTGCAATGGCTGCCTCATACGAACTTTCTTTGAACTGTGGTGGACTGTCGTTTTCATCCAGCACTTTTATTACAAGGTCTGCGAATGCCTGAAAAATTATGAAACAAATAAAATGAGAAACGACAAAACGACAGTTTATTATAATGTCATGGTATAATGATGTATTCTTGAAATTTGGAAACAGAGGAATCAAGTATTAAGTTCACTCGCATGCGAAAGAAAGCATTTACTTGTCAACTTTTAATAAAGATAAGACGCTGTAAACATGTCCATGGAGCAAATTTTATTCTGTGTAGCCAGTGCAGTTTAATCGTTCATGTTTTACTTTCCTGTTAAGAAATAATTTACAAAGAATACTTGGTCTATGAAGCAAATATAAAAACTGCTCAACCTATCGAGGTTTGGCACGGCAGCCATGTTGCATGGCAGGAACAATGATAAATGTCTTGCATTAGAAAGAGACAAACCTAGATACTAAGGTAGGTATTTGCGTTTGCAAAATCGTGTACAGCGGCTATCCCTATATTGGTTCGTTCCTTAACTGTTTGCAGCTCTAAACCCCTCGAGGGGAGCGGGGGGGGGATGGGANGGGGGGGGGGGGGGGGGGGGGCTACTCCATAAAATTGAGTGAAGGTGTGCGGCTCGTTTCTCAAAACGAAAATCCCTACGAACTGACCAAAAATATGATACCCTATTTAACGTCCTAACCCTTAAATCAATACCCTGTTTCAGACCTGCCTTATTGTAGAAGAAGGAGTTTCTTTTTGTTTTCTAAAAAAACCTTACCCAATCAGGGGCCTATTCAAGACTTAAGTATGAAATCCATACCCCATTTGAGACCAAAATAGCCCAAAACCGATACCCTGTTAATAACCAAAACGGCTAAAACACCATACCCTTTGTGGCCACACATACCTACATAGCCCATATAAGGAAGTACCTCCACCCAGTCCCTAAACACTAAACTTACCTTTCTACTAGAAGGATGTCCTCCGTCCTCAGCCTGTACAGTGAGTGAGTATTCTTTAATATTCTCCCGGTCAATAACTCCCTTAACTGTTACCATTCCTGTTTGATTGTTGATCTCAAATGCGTCCCCTGTATTGCCACTGGTGATCGCGTAAGACACTCGGCCATTGGCCTCTTGATCCTGGTCAGTTGCGTAAACTGTTACGACACTCGTGCTCACGATGGAATTTTCCATCACGTGAGCAAGGTACGAAGACTGATTGAAGACTGGGTCATTGTCGTTGACATCGTCAACAATGATGGACACGACCGTCTACAAAGAAAGATGTAGCATATATTATTACCAGTAATTAACATAACGATTAAAGTAAGGTCCGTTAAGTCATCGGTAGCGGAGCTTAACTCGTTTTCTAAATAATGATGCAGCCAGAGTATATCTCCCCTCCCCCCACCCTATGCCAGTTCATTGTCAGTTACCCACGACATTTATTTTTGGGTTTACGCAACCAAAAAGTGACGCTAGGCTTATTAATTTACATTTCACGCAACAAATAGATTACGAGCTGGAGATTTCTATCGCGTGATAGTCGGAGCAAGTTGAATCTTTGTACATCGCAGCCCGAGTCAACAATCACATATAGAAATCGACGGCGAATAATATAATTATTTTAGTATACAGATACTAGTCGTTCAAAACTCTGTGTAAATCTTCTTTACAGACATTGCAAAAATGGAAAGAGGCGGCCGTGCACACTGCTAGGCTACTCACTATCTATCACAGAATAGATAGTGAGTAGCGTAGCCAATAAGAGAACGGCATTCGTGATAGAACGCGAGTGGATTTATACTTATAATTAATAATTTCATGTATCTCTAGGTCTATTCAGTGTGCCAATCAGCAAACATTAGAACTCTCCATATGTATTCAACATGCAAAAACAAATTGCACTTCCAAATGGCAATATTGATAATTCACCTTCGTGGTTCACGTTCTCCAAAAGGGCAGAATTTAGACTCTTTACGTTGTCGTTTTGCCGAGGATGATAACAGAAATATACCAATTATATTATCGCAGTGTATGGACAATACTCTGCTCAATAAATTCTTAGTTTAATGACGCTCTCTTTGCCGTTGAAGTCTTAGTGGGTTGCGTGGTCTCCATCTTTTGTCACGTGCTATTGGAGAGCATGACTCCTGCTGTTTTACAGGACAACTTATAACTGAGCAGGCGTAAAACTTAGCTTTGATGCGAAATGAGTTTTAAGAATTAAGATAGAGGTGTATACAAAGTTCTGTCTTGTAGAAGTTCTCAATTTGACTTTAGTTTAATAATCACTTACCGTATTAGATCTGCTTGGTTGACCCTGGTCCTTTGCTTCAACAGTAAGGGTATACAAGGATTTCACTTCAGCATCTAATGTTTTCTTGACTAAGATGTAACCACCCGAGGATATTTCAAAATCACCTAGATTGGTAAAATACACAGCATAAATGTTTTTTCTTTTATTTTTCATTTTTTGTAAGCGAACGTCAAGTATGGAAACGGCCATGTAATGAGTAAAATAGCACTAAATCTGATAGCTAACCATCGGTATTTCCACCAGTAATGTTGTACACGACTTTGCCAGCGAATCCCAGGTCTTCATCCACGGCTGGGACCTGGATGACGTTGCTCTCAGGCCGAGCCGCCTCGCTGACGTGGGTGGACTGGGGTGGATTGATAAACTGTGGCGTGTTGTCGTTGACGTCATTGACTATAACGGTTACCTTTCGAAATAAAACAGAAAGAGAATACGTTTGCAGCGTAACTTAACAAAAGCAAGAGAAATTACACGGAGGATTTCGTGTATATGTGAACCATTATTCAGTAGTTTCTTGTATTACATTAGGGAAGTACCTCCCTATTTTTACAGCCGCCGTGTTGATTTTCCTAAAATGCAAAGTAAGTTAGTAGTTTCCAAAAGAGGCAAACTGAAAGGCTGAGATCGGCAAATAGTACCCAGTTCGTTTGTTTTTCAATGTATAAAAACTTCCAGGATATTCAAGCTGGAAATTAAATGGAGCAAGACTTCGGGCCCTCGTTCACTGAGCCATTAAACTAGTCTGACCACAGATGTTTATTTCTTTGTCACGAGATATTTTTCTTCGAGAGCGCTAGAAATGTGAGGGCGCGCGAGCGAGTGTGGAGCGCGAGCGAGTGTGGCGCGCGAGAACGGTTACGAAGAGGGCGCAAAACGATTTTAAAACTCTATTTCTGTCTTTCCCCCAAGGCCTCCTCCGTTGCGTGTGGGTTTTCTCAAATCGCCTGCTGCAGTAAAAACTTTTGGTTGCCATCTCGACAAACTGAAGACAAAATAGAGGGTTTGTGAACATAATTCTAAACAAACAAACAACCAACCAAACAAACAAACAGACAAACAAACAAACGAACCAACATTAAAACAGAAACATACTCTTACCCTAACAGTAGAACTCTTTCGCTTATTGCTAGAAAGAGCTTGGTCAGTAGCTGTAATATCAAGAGAAAACACTCCTCTTTCCTGCGCATCCAAAGTCATGTCCGAGTTCTCTCTGTCCAAAACTTTACGCACGGACAAAACCCCCTTAGAAACAAATCAAGAAAAAAAAAAACAAAACAATTACGTTCCGTAGTTCTGACTGTCCCGGCCCCTTTCCAAATGGAAAAAGAAACAAAGGAAGAACTGCACGCATTGTATTAGCGAATGTGTTCATGTAATCATTTAGCAAGGGTTGAGGCTGACAGGCACGAGTTTTACAAGCTCCATCAGTAACTCCCGGAGGAAAGGTCATATGAAAAGGTCGGGGATGCCCGTCGGAAAATTTCAATTAAACTCCTAAGAGAGACCAATTTGAGCGTCGCTCGAGCTTTATTTGACCTTTAAGAAGATGCACTTCAAACGGAATAGGCTCGGTTACTAGTAGACCAAACCCGAGAGACCGGCGGAAATCGAATCTAAAGTCGAAAATAAGAGCGTTTTTTATTTATTATTTTTTCGAGTGCACCCCAAACGATACTTTGACAGATAAAAATAATGGCGTTTTTGTCATCAGCACCCTGAGCGAGACCAGAATCTTTGTTTTATACCCTTAAGCGAGACGATGAGCTTCCTGGATTTTTTCATCTTGAGTCCCCCCCTCCCACCCCCCGGGAAATTAGGCGATTTGCCTCTGTAAGACCTGATTAGTGGTAGTTCTCTTTATAAGGAAGAATTCCATTAGTTTGGGCGTAAATGCAAACCTACGACCGTACAAGAGAAAAAGGGAGAATGATTGGGGAGGGAGGGGGGGGGGGGGGAATATGAAACCTCGTCATGTTTTCTTTATTATGAGAAACTTGGAATCTCCCCAAAGAATAGAGGTGAGTAGCTTCTACAAGTTCAAGTTAATTCTGTTTCCAGTAAAAATTCCACGAAGGATGGGGTTAGAGTAATGGCTGCCCCCGGTAGTTAATAGCATTCAGTATGAAGCAGGAAAGTCAAACATACTGTGCTTGAATTTAGCTGGAAGTAACCATGTTCATCTCCAGACATGGAATAGACGATCTCAGCATTTGTTCCTGCGTCTTTATCAGTAGCATTAACATCGATAATGACACTGTTTACACTCTCTGGGCCTTCGTCAGTAAGTCTGATGTACGTGGAAAGGGATGCGGAAGGACTGGGAACAAATTCTGGAGTATTGTCGTTTATATCGAGTATTTCCACGTGTAAAACTGACGAGTCCTACAGAAAAACGGCAATAGAATATTTACATTAAAATTCGCTTAGTATCCGGATGCTTTTCAACTTTTTTTTTTTTTTGCTCAATGAAAGTGGTTTATAGAGGAAAGGCAATTACCCTCGCCTAACATCGGGCGGAAATATTCAAACTTGATGCTCGCTATATTTACCCCGGCGGAGTATGGAATTAAACTAACTCAAAACTGACAAAACAAATACTCTGTCATCCCGAAACTTAATTAAATTTGGTGCACCGAGTACTAATATTGCAAAATAGGACATTAAGAAGGACCATATGCGTTTATTCAGTTGAAAAATGTTGTCATAACGAAACGACCTTCAAATGAGGAGCGTTTCATTTAGAGGCGATGACTGAACAAGGCAAGCGATAATTTGGATCATTATGTGAATCGTGTCGGAAAACTTTAATTTAGTTTTTTTGGGTATCCTGAGAGGATGAAAAGTTTTTAGTTAGTGGTATTTCCGCTACGTACATAACTTAAATAATTTTACTGCTGCTGTTAGTGCCTACCCACAACATTGGATTCCCAGCGTCAGTGACATTAATTGTCAGGTTGTAGTTTGAATGTAGCTCTCGGTCCAATCCTGTAGGAGATATCTGCAGCACACCAGTGTTGCTGTTCAAGATGAATTCTCCATTATTACCCGATGAGATTGCATAGGTTAATTTCTTGTTGCTTCCTGCATCTCGATCGGTTGCTTGAAGAGTGTAAACAACTGTTCCCCCGCCTACACCCTGTAGGGAACAAAATCATTATATCAATCAGGGTAAAGATGATAGTAAATTAAAGACCGTCCTAAGCTTCTTTAGTTAAACGGACTAGTGACTGAGTCAGCTAACTTTGCCTTCACTATACAACCGAACACACTCAAAGGTTGAGGCATGGGCGCGTTGGTCAGCCAGGCCCAAGATATGTTTTAATTGTGACAATAAGCTTACAAGAAAGTGGATAAAAGATACATCAAGTAACGTGCTACATGCGTCAAACCGGACACGTAAACCCCAAAAACCTCTTGTAAAGAAAAATAGGGACCGTGTACCCTGGGAGGGGGGGGGATGGGTGAATGTTAACTAAAACGTTCATTAAGGATAGTTTTACCACAGGGCAACAAATTTGGATCTCTAGGAGAAGGCTTTATGAAAGGCTCTACACAATCGTTACCTTAAACAACCTCACCTGGCTAAACACATCCCTGCAAAAACGTGTTCTTAAGTGAATTCGCATACAACCTTACCTCGCTAACTCTGGTTGTGAGGTTGTCACCGCCTGAAATCACTGGTGGATTATCGTTCAAATCAAGCACTGTGACAGCAAGAACTGTTGTTGTGTTTCTCGGCGGGTTTCCATGATCGTATGCCATGATCTTTTACAGAACAAAGAAAATAAAAAAAAAAAGAAGTTTAACATGCCTTCATTAGGTCAGTTGAAAAAAGGAAAAACGTTTTCGAAGATTACTGAGTCAGAGATAAAGGAGATACTACAGCGTTTTTGAGAAATCGATTTTCAACAGTTTTCAATGTGACACTATTTCGTTTTCTTTTTCAACGATAGTCTACTTCTTGCTGTAAAAATACAACTGCATTTTGCTTAGGGAAAACAAAATAGTGACTTTGCGTCCACATTTCGTGAAAGACAATCAGCTGGCATCTCTTGCCAAGCCCTCGTTTAATTTCCCCATCAGACGTACATTCGAGCTGAGAATCGAGCGAAACAACAAACAACAAACAACAACAACAACAACAACAACAACAACAACAACAAGAAGTTAATATTTAAAGTAGCTTTACCAAATACTCCTTTAGCATAAATGATTGGCTGTTAATGGCGTTTATAAAATGAAAAACTCGGGATGTAAGCACATCTTTCTATTGCTACGTCAGTATGCTAGTCTGAACAACAGCAACGATCCTGGACAATTTAAACACGATTTTGTTTAAAGGTTTGCTTGAGGGGTCGTGTACCTAGCTAAACATTTAAGAAAACGCATCAATATGCATGTGCAGTAATAATAAATTGTTCAAATCTGAATGTCGGACAGAAAATGTGTGAACTTGGAGACTTTTAAATTTGTTTTGCTGTTAAAAAGACTGAAAATAACGTTACAGATAAAAACTTTTTCAAACCTGATGATAATATCTTACCGTGAGTAAATACGACGACTCCGTTTCGCGGTCAAGTTTCTTTGTTGTTGTCACCACGCCACTGCTATTAATAGCGAAAGCACCGTTGGTATTTCCATCCGTTATGTTAAAGGAAACCTAAACGATGAAATAGAATGTGTAAGTGAAGATTTAATCTTTACTCCCTACACATAATTTACTGCATAACAATCGTTACATAGAGAATAATACATGGGCACGCGTAGATATGTCATTTCTCTTCGAGTGTTCAATGCAACTCGAAATCTCACGAGTGGGATATAAAGTTGAACACGAGAAAAACATACTAAAAATGACGTCTTTTGCGATTTTCAGGAGCTTTCCGACCATTTTCCGAAGATTTTCGAAGATTCTCCAAACGTTGTCCGAAGGCCGTTTCCGAAATCTCCGAAGATTGCCGAAGATTTCTGACGATAACCGCGGATTGTCGAAGACCTCCGAGGAAGTTCCGAAGATGTTTCGCTCATACATACAATTACTCATCGATATCATCACAGTGAAAAATTATCGTGATTATTATGACATTTTTTCAGGGTTGGAAATCCTTGTACAGCCGCAGTTTATATAATAAAATTATTTTTGCTGTGGTAGACCACATAATCGTGTCCGTTATTACCTTAGCGTTGTCTCCACTGTCCACATCTGTAGCTGACACCTAAAAATGCGAAACGAATACTTAGTTTCTCGCCGCTAATTGAGACGTGACTTGCCCTCGCTAGATATATAACTGTTGAAGGTTTAAGAGCTGCGATGTCCTCGTTTGGAACATCAAAGTGTTCCCCCAGCTTTTCCGCGATTCTAGAAATTGCCATGGAGACGGTTTTTGGAATTGCAGATTCACTGGATATTTCTTGATACAAGCTATTTGCGGACTTTTAATATGTTTAGGTCTTTCAGATACTTTGAAGCTAATTTAGACCATTTTAGCGTTTAATAATTATTTCGAGGTAATTTGTCTATCGGAGAGCTCTTCTAAATTTATCTGGTAGACTATCAGTAAAATTGAAAAGCTTGACGCTTGAAGTACAGTGCATATGGGATGAGATTGTCGCAAGCTATCAACACTTCGTTTTAGGTTGCACCCAAAAAATTTCGGTACGTATTTATATTTCAGTACTTGTTGGGAAGAGGCACTGAAAAAGCCAAGTTCCTCCATCAAGAACATAAAACAAACATAGCCCTCTCAATCTCGGACCAGGCTCTCGGTGGTTAGGGAACCTCCGTCTTTTTTCTCTCGCTCGCCTCCTTTTTTTCGCTCGTCCCCAACTACCTAGAGCCTGGAACAGGCTACTTCATTTCAAGTTCAAAGCGCAAACCTAGTTAATGTTTCTATTTCGCTACGAAAGGTTTACCCAGTGAAATCTCTCTATATGTCGCGTGCGACGACAGGTATAGGAAATTTACAGACCTGATAAACAAAAACAACGTCCGTTTGGTTTTCCTTGATATCAGCGGCATACGGTGTATTCAGGAAAATCGGGTCGTTATCGTTGATGTCCTTCAGGAAAACATGGATTTTGGTTACGTAATTTTTGTTTTCCTCATAGAATCTTCCTCCGTCGTTTGCGAGCATAAAGAACACAAACTCTGTGCTTTTCTCGTAATCCAAGACTTTGGTGGCTTTGATGGTACCATTTGTTGACTCGACTGTGAAGCTGTCAAAAAAAAAAAAAACAGGAGTGATTGACTTAGATTCGTTTTCTGAATGGATTGAAAGGAAACAAAGACTAATATTTCCATTGATAATTCATTTTAGACCTAGATTATTAGAGGGTTTTCACTCACGTGGCCAGCAGCTATGAAAATTTATTGAAACAAAAGGAAGTGTTTACATAAGAAAAGAGTTCAACTCACACAGGATTGATTTGGTACACCAACATGACCGTATTTTCATTGTTTTGGAACACCAATATGGCTGCTCTGACGTCATGTGAAAACATCTTATGGCGTGTGTCGTTGGCCCAGTACGCGTCCACCGACCCCCGCAGAAATTTCAATATGCAGCTTCATTTCTACGGTTAGGCCTACCGTCCATACTCGATCCGTCATGAAAACAGAACTTTTCGTGAACGCTATTAAGCATACTGAAGGAATTTGGAAAGGCCGACTTTACGTTTTAGTGTGGACGGTAAACGTTTTATGATGACGTTACGCTAATCATGTGATTTCCCTTTGCGAATTTTCCTCAAACACAATCCAAAATGACGGACGAAAATACAAAAGGACTGAGAGTTAAAATCATCGTTTTTAAAATTCTTTTAAGGGTTTGTAAACATATTCTTATACTGCAAAAGAACTATTTATTTCAGAAACCAATAGTTCCCAGATGACATCTTAATGTCCTTTGAATTAGCAACATCGTGAATGTGAAGTGAAAGACTTCATTTAATGAGGGTGACCCGTGACAGTAACTTAAGTTACTGATAAACTTGGGGCCCTCAGCTTAAAATAATTAGAATGCTAAAAATATATTATTTACAATAAAATGCTAAAATACGATATTATTTACAATAAAATAATTAATCGTCATACTTATAAAGTTTGCCTTATCAATATAACCTAATAAAATTAGTTATTTTTATGTAATTTTGGAGTGGTTTACCTTGATGCCCCAGCTCCATAAAGCTCGTAATTAATTTCTCCATAAGAACCAAGGTCAGCATCCGTAGCCTAGAGAGGCCATTCATTCCAAAAAAAAAAAAAAAAAAAAAAAAACATGAAAAAAGTAATAATATCACATGATTGTAAAATTTGTGCCAATTTAGCTAGTCAGTATTCGAAAGAAAACCAGGGTTGATTTACTGTCTACTATGTCTGCAATATCTAGAACCGTGAAATGCAATGGCTATGACAATTCACCCATTGCTCCATGTTTATAAAAAAGCACGAATTAGCATTGCTCATAATCTCCATTTCTTTCCTTTGTGAGACATTCATTATATCCCAGCTACTAGGTTATCAGCAAATGTTCTTATACGAGAACGGCATAAAAAAAAACAAATGGCGATATGGTAATGCACAATTTGGTAGAATCAGTGTATCATTATTTGAGCAGCCTCTAAAATAATTTGCTAAGAAATAAAAACATACCGTTACTGTTCCGATGACAAAACCAACAGGGATTTCTTCATCGTAGGTGAAGTTGTACGAGCTCCTATTGAATGTGGGTTCGTTATCGTTGATGTTAATCAACTCAACTTCTATGAGAGCGAATCCTGAAAGCGCCTCACTCGTTTCGGTTTCATTTGCAAATATCTAAAAAAAAAAATACATAACGAGAATAAAAAAAAATTACGTGTAGTTTATAACAGAGCAACACAAACAGCGACAACATCTTTGTTTCTCGTGATACCAATAGCAAATACAATAAAAGTATATAAAGTAATACAGTCCTATTGCAAAACATGCATTTCATTAAATTCGATGATTTATTATTTTGTACCAGGCTTTATTTCCAAAACGAAATAATAGGGAACCATTCAAAATTCATCATTGCGTTAACATGCAGTTCGGCAAAAGAGTACCCCGTCCTACCTTGAAAGAAAAATTGAATTTTCCCTGCTCGTAATCCAAGCTAGCATTTACTTTCAGAAGGCCAGAGGATGGATCAATTGTGAAGAACCTGCTGTCATCTCCTGATAAAGAGTACTGAAACCGTCGGTTTTGAGGCTAAGGTAGAAAAAGAAAATTAGGATCAACTTCACATAAATTTTATGTGTCAGTAAAACCAATAGATGCTGTAGATAACTTTGAAAGCTTATAACTAATCTTAAGTATGCATAAAGGTCATTGTAAAGAAGCGAACGAAAGCAAACATATTCTGCTTAAATTCATCTAACGTGGACAACTAGGCGCAATATATCAAACAAGAGAGATTGTGTTATACCACATTTCCACACACGAATTACAGCGTGAGACACATGCGGCGCAGTATCATTGTGACGAGACTTCGAGGTGTTTGGAAATGTGATGAGACAATGTCTCGAATACTTTATATATCTTTTCAATGGAAACTGGAAATAAGGAGAAAACGGGGAAATAAAATAGCAAGACCTAATGTATGCTAATTAACAACAGATTTCCAACTGTTATAATTTCCTTTTGTGATTTTCCTTGACGAATTATTGATGCCTTCGAGAAGTAATTTTCATTTTCACATAATCAACACGTTTACCATAATGTTTGTATCTTAGCATTTCACTCAAACCACACTCAGGATAGTGCGTGCGTAGTTTTGTGAATACCTGTACTTTCCCCTGTGACGTTCCGTTTTTGGCCAACGGCTAATAATTATCGTGCTACTTAAACTTTTAAAAATACTCTGCCTGTCAGGGTTGGCGAAATGCAATTCTTTTTGTCATTGAAGCATTTGAATCCATTGTGTGACGAGACAAAAGTACAATATGCGTCAGAAACGAAACAAGAAATTATAGAGACACTTGAATGTTAATTGGGACATCTTAAAAAGCAAGGACAATGAAACTGTGGTCTGCAAACCGCAGGCACTATGTCACATATACTAGCTTGATATTTTTACAGTATGCTTCACGTGCCTTTCAATAAAGAATTTTTCGCTTAGTTTAATAGCTTCTTGTTTAATGCACTTCCTCATACGGGTACTTACATAGATATCTTCATCCTGCACGTTAAACCGATCAGTTACAATGTAACCAGGTAGTGCCAGGTCCTCTCTGATATTGAAGTGGTAGCTATTTTGTAGGAACTGGGGCGAGTTATCATTCGTGTCCAGAACCGTTATCAGCACTACAGCGGTAGAGTTAGAAGATGGATCGACTACTTCAGATGCCTGTGTAATGAGCAAAAAATGGTAACCACGTCACAGTAAAGAGGTAAGATTGCCAGGCTTCCATGCAAAAATTCGTGTCAGAATATGGAATGCTCATGTGGTGTCATAGACAATACGCGTGTAGAAATCACCACGGTGCGAGTGAGAAAACTGGAAAGTTAGCAAAAGTTATCTATCTTCTCTTTGTGTAAAACCACAAAGATGTGTTAAAACACATAGGTGGCAATGAATCTTAATAGGTGGCTTGGATGGGGTTAAGGAGACAACTGAAAATTTCTCAAATCTAACTGTCAGCTGAGACAGACGCGTTTTTTAATCTGATAGCTGAGATCTGCGATCTGCAAAATTCACTAATAGGTAAGGAATGGACTGAAATTCCAACAAATAAATGAGTCTGTGTCCAGAGCCCCCATCTAAACCCTCCTAGAGAGGCCTGACAACATAAGAAAGAAAAATTTTGTTCGGATTATACTAATGTCACTAGCAAAGCCCCGGATAAACGTTCTAGAATTCGGTTAGCTAACAATGCTGGGATATTTAATCAAGATTCTACCTACTGCATGGTACTCTTTTCAGCAGACATAGATGTTTTTCTATCCGTGTCGGATTTTAAAGTGTGGAAACCCCTTTGATGATTTGCTGTATTAAATAATAGGAAAAGTTGTAAAGCAAATTACCCGGACAGTAATGCTGAAGAAGTCCGCGTTCTCGGCATCAATCGTGCCATTCACGGTAATGTTTCCAGAAGTCTTGTCAATAGCGAACAGACCTTCATCATTACCTATTTACAAAAAGAGATGACATGTTAGCTAAAAGCCTACAACCCTCCCGGTGTAAGACTTCTGAACGAACGGAAATGAACAAACGAATGGCCATTTTTCTTGTTAGTTTACTACAGTGGCAGAGGTCGGATTCAGGCTTTCGGGAAAATTTTCTTAGTGTGGCAATTACTTGATTCTGTCCCCTTTGTACGCCTAATTAGCACGATATTTTGCACAAGTGGGAACAAATGATGGTTGTCGCCCCTGGCCTTTTGTGACAAGCGTTTGGCCAAACTGGCCTTCATGGCCATCCTATTGTAGGTTATTTCAGTTTCAGCAGCACGAAACTACTTGAAATATTGCTAATTTGCACCTTCATTTTACCAAGCTAATAGGATTTACTGTCATTTCATCTCATGCATAAGCAAATAAACACTGTCGCACTTACCACTTATTATTTCATAAGTGACTGCGTTGCCAACTCCGGCATCACCGTCAACTGCTTGCACTTGCACGATCAGTGATCCCTGGAACAAATGTGATAGATTTGGAGATTTGAAAATTATTATAGTTGTTATTTATTATCATCGTGATCGTGAACATGTTCGTGATCGTTATCATCATTATGTTCGTGATCGTGAACATGTTCGTGGTCCTGAGCAAGATCTCCATCGAGATCGCGATCTTGATTATGTTCGTGATCGTGATCCTGACCACCTTCGCGATCGTGATCTTCTACGCGATCGCAATCGGGTTATGTTCGTCTCCGTGGTCGTCAACGTGATCGTATTCGTTATCGCCGTTGCTATCGACATCGTAAATGTCATCGATATCGTCTTTATTACCCTAGTCAAGAGTCATCATCAGACTCGCTTTTGATTGTTTCATAAACAATNATAGCAAATAGTCAAACAAAATAATTGTGTGCATTGTAGTAAACACCTTTGCAGTCACAAACAGTGTATATCGCTGCACTTTCTCAAAATCCAGAGGTCCATTGACGGTTATCTTGCCATCATGGTTGCTTATTGCAAAGGTGTTCGTCTGTTAAAGAAAGAAAAAGCTTCTTTTAATTATTTTAAATAGTTACCGATAATTCGTCACGCTTACACGTATCTTTAACACTGTTTTTATAAATCCTAACATCAATATGTTGTCATTTTGTCCCCGGATAGCGGGTTATGGCAAAGTGGGTGAATGGAGGGGGAATCATATTTACAAGAAGAAATAAAAGTCTTTTCGACGTTATTAGGTCTGTATACCAAACATGCTGTGAATATATGAAAGTATGATTGATCATCGCAGTTATTCACACAACTTAAGCATTTGTGAAATTAAAGTCTGAAAAAAATTCAGGCCTGAACGGGATTCGAACCCATGACCTCTGCGACACCGGTGCAGTGCTCTACCAACTGAGCTATCAAGCCATCTGGGAGCTGATCACTTTGCGAGTTCATAATATACCCGTAGATGATGAAGAATACAAGTGAGTATATGAAAGATCATATATATGTGAACTTTCAAATATTCACTTGTATGCTGTGAATATAACGGGAAAGAAATGACCAATGAGAATCGGGACTTGGGTGATAAATAAATTATAGATAGCTCTCATCCAATAGATAAGTCCAATCCCATGGGAAAGGATTTATTGGTTAGATTGCTTTACATATCCTTCAACAAGTAGCAATGCATCAATGTGAAGTGGAATCTGGATGATAAATAAATGCTGGTTAACTGTTCTCCAATATATAACTACAATCCAATGGGAAAGGAATTATTGGGTAGATAGCGTTATGCAACTTTGAACAAGTGAGGGGAGACCGGCAATGCATCAATAAGAATCGGCATTCGGATGATAAATAAGTGGTGGTTAACTCTTATCCGGGAGATAAGTGCAATCCAGGGGGGAAGGATTTATCGGGTAGATAGTTTTACACATCCTTGAGCAAGGGAGGGGACCGGCAATGCAACAATCGATGTACGAAGTATGAGTGGGAGAACAGATCAACAGACTCACGCTGGGCCAAGTGACCAAAAATAAGAAAAACGAAATAGAATCAACAGCAGCAACAGATTGAAAGATATATTATGTGATGGATTATGTCTCAACCAGATGGCTTAAAATTTCTTGAGTCTATATAAATATAGAATGCAGCNACATCTAAAGATTCTCTTACCTCAGCAATTCTAGCCAAATATGGAGTACTGACGAAGGTTGGTGTGTTATCATTAACATCGACAACGATCAGGACGAACAATTTTGATGTCTAGTGATAGAAATAATGTATCATTAGCAGGGTAAGAGGCAGACGAGGCCAAGTGGTTATTTTAGGGCGCTGGATTTTATTATGTAATCAGGAGGTCCCGAGTTAGAATTCGCCTCCCTGCCACTAGGTGGATTTGTGTTGGGTGGTTCCCAAGCAATAAAGCTCCTCCACGTCTTTTAAAGGTTGAGAAGCAGCTCTCGTAAGGTCTCACATGAATGGCTTGATACCCGTTGAGAGAACAATAGAACAAACCACAGAAACAATGCCCCTAGCCCCAAAAACTATAACGGCTGCTAACAAGCAAAAGAATTACAAGGCTACTCTTCTGCTTGAAAACAGCTAACTGGTCAGCCTCCAGTTAACAGTTTAACAAGCTTTCATTTCTATTTGCAATCATTTGTTTCTTTGTTTATTGTGTCCCCAATTAGTACAGCAGTGCTAAATACCATGAACTTTAATAATCCGATTATTTTTATACTTGTTTGCCTTTCAGACAATCAGAAAATTGACCACTTTTTCTGCCTGAAAATGAATTGTGTATTTCCATGAGTTACCTTCCGATCCGCTAAGGTGCAACCGTTACATTGGTCAGCAACATATACTGTAACCTGGTATTGATCTGTCGTCTGTTAAAACAAAA